GTCTCTCTCAAAGCTATTAATTATACTATTAAATGCAATCTAATTTACCAGATCCCTGCGGAAGCATCGAATGCGTAGAACCAGAAATCTGTCAGCTGGACGGTTCGAGGCAACCGGCCTGTCGCTGCGGGGAACAATGCGGCCTCGAATTTTCACCGGTATGCGGAAGTGATGGCAAAACGTATTCGAATGAGTGCGGCCTTCGGCAGGAAGCCTGTCGATCGAGATTACCGCTCAAGAAAATCTACAACGGCGCCTGCAGCTCCGGTAATACGAGATCCGCATTTGATCCAAAACGAGAAACCGATGTAAATTGACGTTGGAATATTCGAAAAATCATATATACAATATATCATGCAAGACATTTTACGATTATACGATTGTTAAATAATAACAAATATATAATTGTGCAGAAATTAAATATAAATTTTCTACGCATACAGATCAAATTAATAAAAATTTATTTATTCGGTAAAATTAATAATTATGAGATACTGGCTTCATCAGTAAACAATATGACGGAATTGAATTAATTAATCAAGAAATTAATTAATGTTTTCGAATCATGTTTTCCACTGTCAATATCTTTAATTCCCAAAAAATACTTTGTCGAGGAATTTACAGTGAATACGATTGTTTGAACATTTTACAGGACAAAATCCCTGCGAAGCGGCGAAGTGCAGCTTCTACGAGCAATGCGCGATCAATCGCCAAGGGATCGCCAATTGCGAATGCGGCCCCGAATGTGAGCCGGTGATGAGGCCCGTGTGCGCCCGCGGCGGGACCACCTACACGTCCATGTGCGAGCTGAAGAGGCAGGCATGCCTGACGAGGGGCAATATCGAAGTCGCTTATGTCGGCACGTGCGGCTCCAGGGGACCCTGTTCCGAGAAGGTCAGTCTCAGTTATTTGCATGCGCGACACGTCGAGAGGCCACGTTCGGACGCAATCGCGATATCCATTTCCGCGCTCCTTGATACCTAAGTATCAATAGAGTTTCTCGAAAACCGCGAATTATTGCTCCTCT